ATCTCTTCCTGTGTCCTCTTCACACCAGAGTGCAGGCTCCAGGTTTGTCAACCGCTGCGTCTTCACTCGGTGTTGTCAAGCACCGCGGTCCTGGAGCGCTGTCACGGGACGTCGTTACCAGGGCCGGCTTGGCCTTTTGGCGCGATACAGCTGAGCGCTGCCTGCCCCGAGGCTTGGTGTGTGCTCGGCGGCTGCTCTGCACTGGCGCTGCTGGGGAAGGTCTCCAAGCAGATTTGCAATCTCCGTCGGGGGGCGTCTCGCTAACTCCTACTGCAACCGCTGGAGAGGTGCCCAGGGCTCTTATTTCCCTAATAAATATTTTACAACATTCATAAAAACCCTTCACTCGAATCTCTTCCTCCCCGGGCCCAGCCCACCCACGGGCTTGCCCAAAGACAAAACCAGTTACACAACTAAAATCCCGATAGTTTTACTGGAATCTCCGTCGGGGGGCGTCTCGCTAACTCCTACTGCAACCGCTGGAGAGGTGCCCAGGGCTCTTATTTCCCTAATAAATATTTTACAACATTCATAAAAACCCTTCACTCGAATCTCTTCCTCCCCGGGCCCAGCCCACCCACGGGCTTGCCCAAAGACAAAACCAGTTACACAACTAAAATCCCGATAGTTTTACTGGCTTTCAACCGTCGGTCAGCTGTAACCACTAGAGGAGTTTCCTTTTCAGCGGTCTTTCTTTCTGCTTGTAATTGCGTATACACTACGGTAGAAGGGTCCCTGCGGTTTTGACTGTATTTGCGGGAGAGGGAGAGCAGCAGTATTACAGAATACATGAACCGGTCTTGTACAAATGGATACATTGAATAGTAATTAGGGTCGTTTTCTACTATTGAAAAGGGTTGTTGTGTTATAACAATCCATGTCAGCTGTGAAACAAGCACTCACACATGCCGCTGCCCACACGGGGTTGGGTTTATTTCTACCATTTGTGGTTTTTCCCAAAACAGACATTCTTGATACAAGCCCCTATCTCTTGGATGTGCCCCAAACAAAGTTTGCCACAAAGTATTTCACTCCTGTGCCTCCCTCCCCAGTGCGGACATTTCCCCGTAGAGGAGGAGGGGCGGGAGACACATGGCACATACCCCTAAATCACAACTGAAACATTAAAACCAACGTTTTAGCTATTTTAAACACACATGAAACACACTTTGCACAGAGTAATCTCCCCCCCATATTTGAAATACACAAGCCAAACCATTTGCAGCATACTTTTAAAGAAACCCACACACCTGTCTCCCCTCCTTTTCTAAAGGCTGGCATACGTTCCATGGGGCGCGGGGAAAAGAAAGAGGCACATGTGGCATATCCCCCCAAATCCCAGACAACAATTTCACTATCAAAGCTAACTTGGTTAAAACCTCCATTTAAAGCCAAGTTTCAGAAATGTATCTTCCAGTACTGAGTAAACAGGAGAGGGCACATTGTCATTCTGTTTCCTCCCATGCACGTTTGATTAAACAAACAAGCAAAACGTCCTTAGCATTATTCTCCCCCAAGACACTAGCTTTTCAAACCCAAACAGCACTGAACACAACCATAGTTAGAAGAGGATTCTACCTTGCCCTGGGGAAATGCAATTTGCAGTTGCTGTTTCCATATTAATCAGCTCTCCCTGCAAGAAGGACACACAGTGTTATTAGTCTGGACAGTCCGGACACAGAGTAAGAATCTACAGCATATATTTTCAAGTTATAAACCCAGCAATATACATCACCTAGCAGCAGTCTCTCTCTGTTCAAAACCAGTCCCTAAAAAAAGCCCACGTCCTGCCTCTTTTTTCAAACAAACTCCAGTGTTTGCTGTGAGTGGGTTGAGTACCCCCCTCCCCAAACATTCCCCTTTGTGATCTGTGAGTGAAAATTAAATTGTCTACACACCAGGGCTGCTTTACAATCTATTTTCCTGCTTTAATTAAAACCAGAACTCGCTAGCCTTCTTCACAATATGAAACACACAGTTCTTGATGCTTTTGCCCCTTCCAGGCTGAGGACCCTGCAGATGTTCATGTGCAACTTGATGGTTTTTCATTTTAAACATTTTTCTTTTATAGACTAGTTTGTTTTTAAATGAAAAATCACTGTAGCACAACCACCACAGTGACCACCTCACAATCCCAGAATCACAGGACACTAGAACTGGAAGGGACTTGAATCATTGAGTCCAGTCCCCTGCCCTCACGGTCGGACCCAGTATGGTCTTGACCACCCCGACAGGTGTCTGTCCCACCTGCTCTTAAATATCTCCAGGGATGGAGATTCCACAACCTCCCTAGGCAATTGATTCCAGTGTTTGACCCCCCTGACAGGTAGGAAGCTTTTCCTAATTTCCCAGCTAAACCTCCCTTGCTGCAGTTTAAGCCCATTGCTGCTTGTCCCATCCTCAGAGGTTAAGGAGAACAATTTTCTCCTCCTTCCTTGTGACACCCTTTTAGATACCTGAAAACTGCTGTCATGTCCCCTCCTCAGTCTTCTCTTTTCCAAACTAAACAAGCCCAGTTCTTTCAGTCTTCCCACATAGCTCATGTTCTCTAGACCTTTCATCATTCTCGTGGCTCTTCTCTGGACCTTCTCCAATTTCTCCACAGCTTTCTTGAAATGTGGTGCCCACAACTGGACACAAGACTCCAGCTGACGCCTTATCAACGCAGAGTAGAGCAGAAGAATGACTTCTCGTGTGTTGCTCACAACACACCTGTTAATGCCTCTCAGACTCATGTTTGCTTTTTTTGCAACAGCATCACACTGTTGACTCATTTAGCTTGTGGTCCACTCTGACCCCTAGATCCCTTTCTGCAGGACTCCTTCCTAGACAGTCACTTCCCATTCTGTGTGTGATACGGATTGTTCCTTCCTCAGAGCACTATGCATTTGTCCTTATTGAACTTCATCCTGTTTGCCTCGGACCATTTGTCCAGTTTGTCCAGATCGTGTTGATGATCACTTGCAACCCCTCCCAGCTTGGTATTATCCAAAATCACTTGCAACCCCTCCCAGCTTGTTATCATCTGCAGACTTAATAAGCAGGGCTTGACAAACTGCGGCGAGATCTACTCGCCAGCCCCGCCCCGCGCATGCGCCAGACCGGCACTGTACATGCGTGCAGCGCTGGTGAATGGGGCGCACAGAGTGAAATCTACTTGCCACGGACGAGTAGAAACAGCGGTTTGTCGAGCCCTGTCAATAAGCGTACTCTTTATGCCAATAGCTAAATTATTGATGAAGTTATTGAACAGAACCGGTCCCAATACAGACCCCTGCGGAACCCCACTTGTTCTGCCTTTCCAGCATGACTGTGAACTGTTAATAACTACTCTCTGAGCACGGTTATCCAGCCAGTTATGCATCCTCCTTGTAGTGGCCCCATCTAAGATGTATTTTCCTAGTTTATTGATTAGAAGTTCATGCGAGACCGTATCAAATGACTTACTAAAGTCTAGGTACACCATGTCCACCGCTTCTCCCTTATCCACAGGACTCCTTATCCTATCAAAGAAAGCTATCGGATTGGTTTGACAGGATTTGTTCTTTACAAATCCATGCTGGCTGTTCCCTATCACCTTATTATCTTCCAGGTGTTTGCAGATTAATTCCTTATACTTGCTCCATTATCTTCCTTGGCACAGAAGTTAAACCGACTGATCTGTAGTCTCCTGGTTTGTTCTGATTTCCCTTTTTATAGATGGGCCCTAGATTTGCCCTTTTCCAGTCTTCTGGAATCCCTCCCGACTTCCATGACTTTTCAAAGATGATAGCAGTTGTGTAACCTGTAAAGTTCTCCTGTTCCTCCAGCCAATTCTCAATGTATAGATGAGGGGAGGCTTGTGAGCTCTTGCGGCAGTTCAGGTTTGGGTTAGAGCCAAGCATACTTTTCATTTGTTTAAACTTTAAGGATTTTGAGTTGCTAGAAACACTGACCCGCCACGTCCTGCAAACTCCTGAGGTTTTACTTGCATTATAATATTCATAGAATCACAGGGCTGGAGGAGACCTCAGGAGGTCACTGAGTCCAACCCCAACTAAACCAACCCTGCCAGGGCTGTGTCAAGCTGGCTGGGACCTCTAGGGATGGAGATCCCCCCCCTGGGGAAATAGTTTTTCCTAATATCCAACCTAGACCTCCCCCACTGCAACTTGAGCCCATTGCTCCTTGTTCTGCATCCGTCACTTCTGAGAACAGCCTTTCTCCATCCTCTTTGGAACCTCCCTTCAGGAAGTTGAAGGCTGCTATCAAATCCCCCCTCACTCTTCTCTTCTGCAGACTAAACAGACCCAAGTCCCTCAGCCCCTCCTCGTAGGTCGTGTGCTCCAGCCCCCTCAGCATTTTGGTCGCCCTCCATGGACCCTCTCCAATGCACCCACATCCCTTCTGTAGTGGGGGGCCCAGAACTGGACACAACACCCCAGATGAGGGATGTTAGATATCATGCACCTGAATAGTTGTGTAACTGCATGAATTCTTAGTGGTAACACGACTGTTCAACAGTGCCCTCCACCTGTGCCCTCCCCTCCCCTCCTGAGCATATGGGTCAGTCTGATCCCTGCCCGCCCTCCTCCCCACGGACAACTGGGGTCCTTCTGCATCTCCCCAGGCCCGGGGCTGCACAGTACCTGCTCCCAGGCCTGGCTGGGGTGGGGATGACCTCCTGGAACTGCAGAAGCTGAGGGGGCGATGGGGGACTTGCTAGAGGATGCTGTGATTTCTGACCCCCTCCCCTGCCCGGTGTTTAGTTTTCCCCACTGTGGGGGGCCCCACTCTGCCTGCTCACTGGAGGAGTGGGGCAGGGCTGGGTGTGCAGGGCTCACCTCTCGCAAGCGCCCCCTTTGTGGCAGAGGGCATGGCCGTGACTCCTCCGCCCGGCTGGCTCTGGGAGTGGCCGTGGCCCTGACGGCTTTCCTGGCTGGGCGCCTGGGAGCAGGCTTCTTCTTACCCCCCTTTTGGGGGGCACCCAGGCCTGCCCCCTCCTCTGGCTCCCGGTCCACGGAGCCCGTAAGTAGCAGTTGCCCACTAAGGATCACTCAGTCTCCTGCTCTCTGGGCCACCTCCCCAAGAAGCGGCTCCGTCCAGCCCCCTCTCAGGGCTCTGAGGTCCCGTTCTCACCGCACCTGCCCAGGGCTCTGCAAGTTCTCACGGTCTAGCACAGGCATGTCCAAAGTCCGGCCCGTGGGCCAATTGCGGCCCGTGTTCCGGTTTAATACGGCCCCACAGGTAATTTGGCAATATCTATCTTTTATGGCCCCCAACGAATCCATATGTATTGAGATGAATACATTGTAAAATCTCAGTTAATGTCAGTTGGTCTAAATCAGTTATAAATATATTTGGACACAACATGTATACTTGGTGTTATGTTCCTGTTCATATTTTTTGAACTTAAAAGTTGACAGACAACCTTTATTACCAATAATATGTAATGTACTTTACAATGTTCCTGACGTATATTTCAGCTTCCTGGATTTTTTTTTCATCTGGCCTTCAGATATGAAAGGCAGAGTGATTTAACACCTGTTTAGATTTGTCATCCATGTGACGAAATGAAAAGTATGCCGTGTGCAATAAACTTTGCATAAAATAGTTCATTTGCATTTAATTTTAATGGTTCAAAGAATGTCAGGCAAAATGGTCGGCCCTCACGCATGTTCACTTCATCAAATCTGGCCCTCTTTGAAAAAAGTTTGGACACCCCTGGTCTAGCATGTCCCGTCCTCAGCCGCCAGACACCAGGTCTGAAGTCCGGCTCCAGTCGGAGCTGTCCGAGGTGCTGCTGTCCTCCCAGCCAATCCCCAGGTCTGACTGGGGAGAGCTCCAGTGAGGAGCTGCCAGACCCTGCACCAGCAGCATCTTTTATATCAGCCTGCTGGGCTCTAATTGGCTACAGCAGAAGCAGCCACTCTAGTCTGCTTGGAGGACCTCTTTTCTGCCCTTCTCCCTGGGGCGGGGTGCTGCAAGGCCTCCAGCAGGGGGCGTCAGACCTAGTCCATCCGTCACACTGGGCTTCTTGTTCAGTTAGGGTGGGCTCTCCCTCCAGGTGCAGCCACATGGCCCGGCTGGGCGCTCACCTCCACAGCCACCCTCCGGCCCCTCACACTCGGCTTGTCAGGTTGTGAGCTGGGGGTGCCGTGCACACAGCCTGGTGATCGCAGCACACACGTGGCTTGTGCAGCGGACGGCGAGCGGCTGCGCTGGGATGGGCCGACTCTGCGCCGGGGGCTTGGCCTGGACACTAGGAACAGGTGCTGCCTGTCCGGCCGGTACGCTCCGGAGCAGGTTCCCAAGGCAGGCCGGGGGCTCCCTGCACTGGGGCTGGACAAACCCCTCTTGGGCCGGTCGCCGTTGGCTTGCCCTGCTTCAGCCCAGGCAGACGCGCTAGCTGAGCTCCTGAGGGCCCTGGCACCCACATTTCTAGCAGAGTCCCATCTCCATCTCTGCCCAGCGCATCTCGGGGCGTGTCCTTCGCACCGACAGGCCATGCCCAGGTCTCCGTAGCACCCGCCTGAACCCGCAGACAGAGGGCAGCCCCTGGTGTGTCTGAGAGCAGATGGCAGACCCCGTCCGAGTCCCACCCTCTCCTGGCTTCTACACGGAAAGCTCTTCCCATCCCCACGCCTGCGTGGTTCCCATAGGAACTAATGCACTTCAAGTGGGAACACAGGAGTGGGAAGCAGAGAGGGAGCAGGCCTGGGAGTTAACCCAGGCTGTGACTGAGGCCGCTTTTATGGCCGTTTGGGAAGATCTGCAGTGTGCCCCCCTGCCCTCCCCAAGCGCCGGGCGATGCCCCGCTCCCACC